ATGAATGCCTAGCCATAACAAGTGAGCTCGCCCCCTTCGCTGACCTGTGTGGGCTTCAATCGCCATCGGCTTCGGGTCGATGGGCTGGGTCAGCTGAAGTCACCCACAGTGAGTCAGTTTAGCGGTGGTCGAGACGTAAGCTAGCCGTGCTCTCATAAGGTTAGTTGGTTTGCGCTTGTAAGCTACGAGACCTCCCCAGACGCCTTTAATCTATGGAGAAGCGGTTCTCACGTTTGCAAATGCAGCTTCGGCGGTAAGTCACCTTATCTTTGACTTTCCAGGCTCCGACGAAGGCGACAAGGCCGAAACGTAAGCCAAATAAAAGTTGTTAATATCTTGGCTGTGGTTACAAAATCTAATCAGAAGGACCTCACACGATGCCAAGATTCATTGAAAGTCGATCATGGATGCTGGTCTTAGTATTGTTTATGTCCCAGCAATGCCCTACAGTGCAGTTACTCGGGGTCTGGCATCATGACGAGCAACGGTAGCCTTCTTGTAGTTGTGTGGTATCATCCATTTGTCGATCTGATTGCCGAGGAACAGGCACTGTACACCGACAGCGTCGAATTTTTTTCTGTATAGAGCCGCCTGAAAGCCACAGGGTGGAATCCTTGCTATGATGATCATCCACTTGCGCCCACGTAACTCTTCATGGTAGAACTCGGGCGGCTTCTCATCTGCATTCATACAAAATTGACGATTGTGAGTTTTGGCTCGAGGTCCAAGACCACCCATATTTCATCTAGGGCCGGGGTGCGTTTTCACAGTCGTGAATGACATCTCATGCTGAGAACATTACTGCTAGAGGCACAGAATCGGTACTGCGTTCGTGCTTCTACAAGAAAATTAGGTACCCATGCGCACACCCTCTTGACCATCCTCAGTTTATCGGACATAACTCGGGCAGCAGTTGCAGCTGGGATGTCAGACTCGCGGGGAAGCTCGACAAAGGTCCAGGCTCTGTGATCAGACATTCAGCGCTTGACTTCATCCACCCTTTTTTTCTTGTGCAGGATGAACATTATGGGACCATCCACGACAACAAATTTTTTCCTTTCTTCCTTGTACGGGCTCCTGAACCAGATCTTCCACCGTGTATTTCGAGAACACCCTTACACACAACTATGGTCCGGCGCAGGTCGAATTTGAGCAGCGCACTTCCCTCTTATGACGTCTGATTTGAAAATCGGGCGCTGATTTTCACCACTCGGGCTTCTTTTCAATTTCTCTGTGGGTAGGTTCGCCAAATTTCACAGATACACAGCTAAAGGTACTAGCCTCCAAATGGTATAGTAGCCCGCTGCCCTATCCCCTTTGCTTTTCTGCCATTCCTCTATATGTAGCGGCACGTTTGAATGGGATGACCTAATAGTAAGAGTAAGTTACCTCGTCGATTCCACCAGGGCCGATGAACTGCTCAACTCTATGACACTATGGAGCAAGTGAGACTCACTGTCGCGCACTGCCATAGTGTGATAAGGTGCGTACGTGCAGTGCATCACGTTCTCACTGTTAGAGCCCACATAGCGGAATGTACGGTAAGAAATTGTCGAAACGTCACGCGTAATCCACCATACAAACCTGTTCGGCATAAGAAAGAATTTACCAATACTATAAGTACAGAAATGCCCAGGTTACAAGAAAGGCGAACATGGAAACTGAAGTTTACCAGCGACCATCAGTGTTTCGAGAGTCCATCAGCTCAGCGAGGAAAGTATACAGTGGAGGGGGCAAAAAAAGACACCCCCTAGACTTTTAAGGAATATAGCTTATGTTTTATCAACATTGATTGGAGACGTTCTCCACCAAATTCAACACACATTGTACACTATCATGATACTCCGCCACAGCCTTCTGGACGAGCGCCATCGAGAGATTCTGCCACGCGACCGTGATTCGGTGCCTGAGTTCAGCGAGGTCGTTGATTTCTCCGCCACTGTAGACCACCCTGTTGAGCTCCGCCAGAACCCGGTAATCAAGGGGTTCAGGGCAGGTGACACACTTGGATATTCCGTCTTCTTCAGGTACTCAACGCCCTTCGATTCCAAGTAGGCGAGAGTTTTTCCAACGCCCTTCGATTCATGTGCTGGCACCCAATCCTGTAGCAGTACGAAGTTTCCAAGATGGTACAGGCGACGACATGAAGGCAGGATATTCTGGTCCACACCACTAACCCGCGCCTTGGCGACTGCAGTGAAGATGATATTGGACCGTAGCGACGTTGTCGGAGCTGCTCGATAGTGGAGGTCTTCCAGATCTAGAGTGCCAGCCGGTTTCCAGCACTCTTGATCTGGAAGACCTCCAACATCGAGCAGCTCATAGTGACTCCATACAAGAAGTTTCGCAGCTGTTTGAAGGTGACGTGAATTCCAAGACCTTCTCCAGTCAGGCTGCGATTGGAGATGACTTCATATTTTGGTGTACATGAAGGTGATGGGCGAGGGCCAGCTCCTGCTTCTTGGGTATCTTCCGCCCTGGTACTCGTATCCACGTCTTCTGTCTGGGCTGCGAAAACTTTACTGATATGTGACTCGACCAGTGTCTTTTTTGGCCCCCCTGTAGATATCGAGTAGCGAACGACACGGTCTTCCAGCGTCCACAGCGTCAGCTAGCGACCACCAACGTGTCGAGGGACTAGGAAACTATGGATATGGATATCGATTTAGCATCTACCAGCGTCCTCCAGCGACAAGGAGTAGACAGT